ATTCAAAAAAGAACTAGTTTTTGTTGAGTTTCCTTTTTTATGATGCCAAGTAACGGGGCGAACAAGTCTTTCACTTGGTGGTCATCTTCTCTTGTAAGTGACACGCCTGTCCATAGCAGTTGCAGTGGAGATATCAGAACTGTCATACAAGCACCAAAACATGACTTTGTACAGAGAGTGCGCTTTGAAGAATGTAAGTGAGTATATTAAAAAAATTGTAAGTGATTTTTTTTATGATATCAATTGACGGGACAAACAAGTTGTGCGCCAATGGTAAGCGACACGCCCATTGACAGTTGCAGTGCCACTTTAAATCGCTGAGGTATGCGTTGAGAAGTCCCATGTACCTGTAATTACACAGGCAGCCTTACAATTAAATACCGAACTCACTAATGCTTAGATTACTCCTTACGGCTGAAATAGGTGGCAATACTTCCCTAGATAAACTCTTTCACAAGGACAAGCTCTTCTGTTACTAAATGGTGGTGTGTAATATGGTGTGTGTTGATGTCTTTTTTTATAATATCAAGTGACCGCACGAACGAATCGTGCGCATGATATTAATCTACACGTCTGCCATAATAGTTGTAGTGCCACTCAGAGCTTTAAATCGAAATGATCTGAAGGGCGCTGCCACTGCGTCCATCTCCCAGAGACACAAGTTGATAAGTCCCGTGTGCCTCTCGTACCCTACCCCTCAAAACCGGAATGCAGTAATGCTGACATTATTGCTTGGCGGCAGAAATAGGTAAGGTGGCAGTACTTCTCTGGACGAACTCTTTCACAAGGAGCTCTACTACCGCATACTACTGTTTATCAATCTATTCTATTTGATGATTTCCTTTTCAGTAATACTAATAACTTTTTAAAGATATAATTTATAGAATATCAATGGTACAAACGGTTGGACTAATAATCATTGTGTATGAGATCATTCACCTTGATTTCATGACATTGGATGTAATCTAAAGGCCAGAATACACAAATATGCCTCCTCTTGCGTGCATACATTGCTAGTTGCTTCGCATCTGTTACAGGTCACAGGATAGTCACCTGATGTCTGCCTCCTAAGGTCATTCAAGTGTACAGCTAGTGGCATGTGTATATTGACTTATATTTCAATGATGATTAGATTGCTACTACATTAGTGGAAATCGTCTTGAAAACAAGTAATTGCTATAAATGCATTTACGTCTCTACATGCTTGTATTATGTACTCGTTGTGTCGAATGACCAGTTAGCTGGAGAAAGCGGTCTACGACGTCCATCTAGCAAGTTACTATAGTCATAATACAAACCTACTAAATAACCATTAAAATGTTTGTACTTTCACAAGTCATCAGGATCACGGTGAAGTTAACCAGCTGTGAATTGTACAGTAATTAGCATTAATAGAATATTCATTGAGTTTTGGGAGCTCTAAAAATTATTCTTTGTATTAAAGTGTTTTTTTCCTATCACTAGTCGAATACAAATATATCACTTCGTATATCGCACATGAAACCAAGTACTGTCGTAACTCGAAAATGATGGAAATGAGAACACGATTTGAAAATTAAAAAGAAAAGAATTAATGAACCTTAATGCGTATAATGGGTTTATTTTGGTTTATAGATAATAAGCTGTTATCTACTTATAAACGAGAATGTAAATTTGCTGTTTCAATTCAGTAATTTTTTGAACTTTCAAACTGTGTTTTATCAATTCCATCATTTTTGAGTTACGACAATATTTGGTTTCATGTGCGATAACATAATGTGTGTGTTATGTTGTGAGTTTGTGTTGTTGTAGTTGTGTAGACTTATTTGTCAGTTTTGATGTTTTCCTTTGTGTGTAGTTGTCTCCATTTCAATTTAAATATTTTTGTAGATCGGTGACTGACCCAAAGTATTCACGAGTCTAATTAGTATATTTAATCCATTTGTGCACTGAAAAGTGCAATCCGGGCTATAGCAGTATTCTCTATTGCTTTTCAGTAGAATTAAGTAGGCTTAAGCGAGGTGATATCGGCGAACTTCTAGTCCTAATAAAAATTTACTTTAAATAAATAGCGCAAACACTCATAGCCCCACACTAGAGAAACCCTGTATAGCGGGTGCCATGGACACACATTTATACAACCACAAATTACACCCAAACTCACGAGAGATGTAAGTGTAGGCCACACAAATATTTTTCTCGTCCTTGGAATCGAACCCGGGACCTCTGCGTGGCAGTCATGGCATGGTAACCGTTCGGCCACAGAGGCAGTATGAGTGCAGCAGTGGACATACAAAATTAAAACATTCGCAGTATGTTCGTTCGTTTTCAAATAGCATTTTATTTCGTTCTAGTTATAATAAATTAATTATTACATTGCATTTAATAAATGAAGCCGTGGTAGCCTTACCGCTATTCAAGCAGGTTCGAGTCCGGGCTCGTTTCTCTAAGTTTCACGGAGTTTATGCGCGTAATTTAATTTGAAGCCCTGAGCTTTTTGGTGAAGGAAAACATCGTGATGAAATCTACACGTCAAAGAAGGTTCACAACATTCAGAGAACATGTGAAGTGAAGAAGAAGAAGAAGCTGGCCCAACCAACATTGGGCCAGCGTGACGACTATGGCCCTTAACTTAACCCTTATACTCCCCCTTGCCTTAGAGGAGACCCGTGCCCAACAGTGGGACGTATAAATAGGTTGATGAGAATTGAACTACATTTATTTATTATTTGTGTATAGCTTTAGCCTTTAGCGGTGAAAGCCTTCTCCAACTTCTTTCAATAATGCTATAATAATAAATGCTATTTCTGCAATATCGTCGCTCCACAACTTTGATGGCCTGCTTCGTCTTTTTTGCTTATAAAGCGGGTACCACTCGTGATGGTCTGTGACCACCTTCTGTCTGTGACTTTTTGAATATGGCCAACCCTTTTCCACAGGGATAATACCCGCTTTATAACATGAATTGAACTAAATGGTACAAATAAATAAACGTGTCTGAACAAGAGGAAAATATAAAATTTATAGCTTTATGCATGCATCCATAGTATTAAATTGTGGCTTTTAGTTTGCAGTAAATTACCATAAATAATTTATATTAAATTAAATGAAACCAATGTTCAATTGTCGATAACTACAGGTTTTAGGTATATCCTGCTGGGTAAAGTTCAGTGAATTCTATTTTAGTCCGTCGCTGTACACTTTTTATGCACTAGCCTGTTTCCTAGGAATATGTAATACTTAGGTTCAATATATGTATATTGCTACGGAATGGAAGCGCAT